CTGGGAATGATGTTCTTGGCAGGGAGATGGGTATACACAAGATGGGATCTTTACAGCAACTTTGCCAAAGAGTATTTATTCTGCAAGAAACCTCGGGAGGAGTGGCCATGGAGACTCGTGGCTTTCCAGAGACTGTGTTTCACTGCAGGAGACATCTTATCACATATCAAAGAATCAAACATCATTGGAATGGGAGCCATGGGGATCGTTTACAAAGCAGAAGTCATGAGACGGCCATTACTCACAGTAGCTGTGAAAAAACTGTGGAGATCACCATCACCACAGAATGATATCGAAGATCATCATCAAGAAGAAGAAGAAGAGGACGACATACTCAGAGAAGTGAACCTACTTGGTGGTCTCCGACATAGAAACATTGTGAAGATTCTAGGTTACATTCACAACGAGAGAGAAGTGATGATGGTATACGAGTACATGCCCAATGGAAACCTAGGAACTGCTTTGCATTCCAAAGATGAGAAATTCTTACTAAGAGATTGGCTCTCACGATACAATGTCGCCGTCGGAGTCGTTCAAGGTCTCAATTACTTGCACAACGATTGCTATCCGCCGATCATTCACAGAGACATCAAATCTAACAACATTCTCCTCGATTCAAACCTCGAAGCGAGGATAGCTGATTTCGGATTGGCGAAGATGATGCTTCATAAGAACGAGACTGTTTCTATGGTGGCTGGATCTTACGGGTATATAGCGCCGGAGTACGGATACACACTGAAGATTGACGAGAAGAGCGATATATACAGTTTAGGCGTTGTGCTTCTGGAATTGGTGACTGGGAAAATGCCGATAGATCCTTCGTTTGAGGAATCGATTGACGTAGTTGAGTGGATTCGGAGGAAGGTGAAGAAGAACGAGAGCTTGGAAGAAGTGATTGACGCGAGCATCGCCGGAGATTGTAAACACGTGATCGAAGAAATGCTTCTGGCACTGCGAATCGCTCTTCTCTGCACTGCGAAGCTCCCGAAGGATAGGCCATCGATTAGAGATGTCATCACGATGCTTGCGGAGGCGAAGCCACGCCGGAAAAGTGTTTGCCAAGTCGCCGGAGATTTGCCGATTTTCAGAAACTCGCCAGTGGTAGGGCTGATTTAGATGACGGAGGCGATAAGGGTATTTTTGGCATTTCAGCAGCTGGGATCATTTTAACCTTGGGCTTGAGCCAACAACTAGTTAACCTTGGACTGAATCAACAACCCATGTTTTCAAATCTGATCAGTGCACTAAGCCATTGAACCGAATGACATGATTCAAAATTGTAATAGGTCCCTTGTTCGATGGCTGATCCTGCAAATTGTAGTTACCGGAGGCTAAACAAGTAATAAATAAAGATTTTAAATAAGTTAAATGGGATATTAATCTTTAAAAATTCACAGAGAAATAAATATTAACTTTTTCTATTGAACAATTAGATCCTCCATTTTCTAAAAAAAATTTATAATTTTCTTAATCTTTTCCAAATAAATCTTAATCCTATACAATGATTCTTTTATGCTATCAGAAATTATTTTGATATTGAAGAAAATCACAAACTACGTCATAAGTTTGTAGTCCTCACGTTCCAATTAGGTTTTGTTACCATCTATTATTCGCCGATATTTGTAACATTGAGATATATTCAACTAAACTCTGAATCAGAGAAAACAAACTAATTAAATCTTGACCAAATCTAGTATTGAACCCGAGTAGAGGAAACTGGAAAAGTCGTACAACCGTTTCTCTTGCTACTGTAGAAGTGAAAAGTTGTATATCGACAATATACACATGAGTTAAATATATCTGAAACTTGTAAAGTTGTAATTGTTTGATCTGCGTAATATAAAAGTTAAATATACCATAAAGTTGTAATTGTTTTTACCTTTTTTATTTTTGCGGGAAATACGAGTTAAATATACCGGAAAGTTGTAACTGTTTTACCGGTTTTTTGGTGTGAAAAATGAGTTAAATATATTGTATTAATATTTACATAATTGTTTTCAAAATATTAATATAATCTTTACATAATAAAACTACAACCTCTAAACTAATTTTTATCCTTCCAAAATCAATAGATAAAAGTGCTTTCTCTTTTTTTTTTTTCACCAAAGATTTGAGTTTATTAAAATGTCAACAGAAACAGACGTCTACAAAAGAGATGCTAAAACATAGTACAACAACAACGACAAAAACAAAGACACTAACAACGAGATTCATCGGCAATACGAGCATGAAGCCAATTAGGTCCACCTAACGCCAAATAAGATTGAAAACGCCCATCTCGTGTAACACTTTTAGCTATGTCACGAGCTATAGAGTTAGCTTGAGGTAACGATGCCTTGAACTTACACCATCTAAAACTTGGAAGGAGATTGTTTATATAACCAAGGTCTGTCCGATAACGGGGCCACTTTTCAGGATTATTTAGAGCTTCAATAGCAGGAGCACAGTCCGACCATACCTCGATATTTGTTAGATGGTGATCACTTACACTTTGAAGCATCCACAAAATACAACGCAATGTTGCAGTAATCTTGTTGAAAGCCGGTAAAAAAGCATCACGTGCATGAAAAACTGCTGCACCATTATCATCTCTTGCAATCCATGCTCCACCACACATAAAAGATGAATTAATCCATGAAGAACTCATATTGCATTTGATGATACCATTTACAGGTTTTGACCACATTTTCTCCGCTAGATTAGTTCTGGTTATTGCTCGGTTGTGTTCTTGGGCTGCTACTTCATTCTATTTTGACCAGTTTGTTGCTTCTTCCATGGCGAGTGACACCAATGTTTTTAAATCTCCTGTTTTACCAGCAATCAAAGTAGCATTTCGATTTTTCCATATTCCCCATAGAATCCAAGGAATTGAAATTTTGCGAGCTGCAGGTAATCTATCATTCTCCATCAAAGTAAGAATGTAATCCATGTTTTCACTAAGAGAATTCGAAAAACCTTGAGGAGGAGGGAATATCTTAGCCAGCGCCCATACCTGCTGAGAAGCCGTACATTTGAAAAGCACATGACACACAGATTCGAGTCCCATTCCACAAACTTGACATATAGGATTCACATGCAGCCCATGAGAATTTAGACATTCTGAAAGAAACAGCTAATGCACCAGAAAGTGCTCTCCACATGAATAACTGGATCTTTGGGACAGTTTTAACCCTCCAAACTCTGCTTTTAAGCACATTTATAGGTTGTAAGATGACTTGAGTATTCAGAGAACCAAGGTTCATATGTGACTGCAACCAGCTTCCACTCTTAACCGAGTAACTACCATCTTTAGTATAAGCCCAAATGTCTCTATCTTGAAGGTTTAAGGCTGGAGGAAGTGACATGATTCTTGTAGCATCTTCAGGAGGAAAGAGATCTAAAATTTTCTATTGATTCCAACATCCTTGCGGCGTGAGACACCATCAAACTTATATCAATCAACCATTGTTTATTAGCTGGCCTTCTAGGATTGCCATCAAGAATCCACTTGTCCATCCAAACTGTAGTTGAAACTCCATTCCCAATCGATCTCATCAAACCTCGTTTCAACAAATCTCTTCCGTGTAAAATGCTTCTCCACGCATAAGATGGACGTGAACCAATACTTGCGTTTATGATGTCTTTCTTATCAAAATATCTCGCCTTATAAACTCTTGCAAGTAAAGACTGTGGTTCATTTAGGATCCTCCATGCTTGTTTAGCCAATAAAGCTTGATTGAAGTCACCAATATCTCGGAAACCCAATCCACCTTCATTTTTTGATTTACATATTTTATCCCAAGAAACCCAATGCATTTTCTTCTTCCCTTCACACTCATTCCACCAAAAATTAGACATCGCACTAGTAATCTGTTGACATTGATACTTAGTCATTTTGAAACATGACATTGCATAAACAGGTAAAGCCATTGTCACTGACTTGAGAAGTACCTCTTTGCCACCAAGAGATAAAGTTTTCTCATACCATCCACTAAGGCGATTTCTTAATCTATCACTAATGAATGCCAAGAGTTTCCCCTTAGACCCACTAAAACATTCTGGCAATCCTAAATAAGTACCAGCTCTACCTTCTTTATTTATACCCATCAACAACCCTAATAGATGTTTCATTATTGGATCGATTTTACCCCCATATGTAATAGATAACTTCTGAAAATTTATCTCTTGTCCTGAAACTTCACCATACAACTTGAGGCATCGTAATATCTCCAAACATTCCTTAAATGTTGCTCGGCATAGAAAGAGACTATCATCAGCAAACAAAAGATGTTGTATCGATGGACTGTTCTTGGTAAGACGCAAACCTGATATTCTTTCTTCATTCTTTGATTTATTCATGATATGCACTAATGCTTCAGCACATAAGATAAACAAAAACGGGGATAGAGGATCTCATTGTCGTAAACCCCTTTCTGGCTTAATAAGTCCATACGAATTACCATTAAGAAGAACTGAATACGAAACGGATCTAACACAAAACATGACCCATTCAATCCATTTGCTATCAAACCCCAGCTTGGTAAAAAGTTGTTCGAAAAAGTTCCATTCTACACGATCGTAGGCTTTGGACATATCGGTTTTAATGGCCATATAATCCTCATTGCAACTAGCTTTTGTTCGAAGTGCATGGACCATCTCATGTGCAATGAGTATATTGTCGGAAATTAGTCGACCGGAAACAAAAGCTCCTTGTGTGTCCGAAACAATTTCAGGTAGGAAATGCTTTAGTCTCGAGCATAAAACCTTCGAAATAATTTTATATGAAACAGAGCATAAGCTAATTGGCCTGAGATCAGACATCTTGTTTGGATTAGACTTCTTAGGATGAGACATATATTAGTATAATTCCATTCCAGCGGAAAAGAGCCTGTTAGAAATCTGTATTCTTATCAAATACTCTACATTGTTTTCATCACCACCAAATAAATATTATCTCTAATATTCCTAGTTAGGAAAAGAATCTGTAATTCCCATTCCGAAACCGTTGCAACTCTCTCTATAAGAAGTTTTGAAACCACCAAACACTCTCCACAGCCTTTCGATCGTGTCCCCAAACGAAACCCTAGCAAGCAATTTCTTCCTCGAATCCTAGAGTCTGCTTTCGCACTAGGATCCTCTCTCTCTCTCTCTCTCTCTCTCTCTCTCTCTCTCTTCGGTAAGCCTATTCGCCGTCGCCTAAATTTTGTCATCAGTGGATTTTGTTTTCGTTGGTTGCTCCACTTTATGCAGCTCTCCTACGCACGTCTTCTTCTACTGTTTACACAATTAATTAATTATGGGTTTCTTCTATTTCTCTGTTCCAGAACCTGCAAAATCTTGGATGCAATTCTCCTCTCTCTTTAGGTAAACGCTACTGCTTCTTCTCTTATATATTTTCTATGTCAATTAATTCTGGGTATCTCTAATAAATTTCGTGGTTATTAATTGTCTGGACTTACAACAGATCTTTTATTGAATTTTCACCTAAATCTTAGGGGTACAGTACAGTATTAGTGAATAGATGATACAGTCTCAGGAGGTATGCTTAGCGTTTCTGTTATTGACACTTTTCCAGTAGCAAGTGAAAATGGAGGTGAAGGAAAAAGATGAAGTGCTAGAGAAAAAGGAGGATACTGTCGAGGCCAAAGAGGATGAGATGGATATAATAATAACTGAAGAAAGAATGGAGGCGAAGCTTGACGAGGTGAAAGCAAGAGATGAAAGGGGGGAGCAAAATGATGTACTGATGGAAGAAATCAACAATCAGGCTGAGCAAAAAGATGTACTGATGGAAGAAGACAACAATCAGGCTGAACTAAAAGATGAGGAGATGCAAGATACTTCTAGTAGATCTGAAAGTTCTGATTTCAATTCAGACGAAGATGAACAATTCCTGCCGGGGCGTGATGATGAGTTGGATTTTGAGGTAAGCAACATGGATATCTCTTGGCCGAGAAATAGTGTATGTTTTTCTAATCTAGCTTTTAACAATTATTGTGCAGAAACCTCTGAGCGAGGAAGAAATAGAAGAGTTAATTTCAGATCTTCTGGGAGTTGAGAGCAAGGTATTTAATCTCTTCCTTTTGTTCAATGGAGATCTGGATATGCCCATTTAACTTTCAGGTCTAAATCTCACTCTTTATGATTTCCCACTGATCTCAAGGCTGCAGAAGCTCAAGAAGCACTTGAAAAGGAGTCTCTTTCTAAGGTAGAGAGTGAAGTTAGGGAGGAATTAGCACAAGCACTCCGTGGTGATGAGGTTAATTTCTTTTTCTCTCTATCAAAGCTCCGAGTTCTTTTGCTCTTTTCCATTAAACATTTTAAGAGTGTGCCTTTTTAGTTGGATGAAGCTGTTGCTGCTGAAATGATGACTTTTAAAGACGAATGGGAGGCAAATCTTGATGAGCTTGAAACAGAAAGTGCACACTTATTGGTATGTTTCGTTGTTGCTTGTTCTATTCCCACAAAACTTACTCCAAAGGGTTACTTGTCATTTAAAGTAACTTACGCAGTGCTTTCCTTTTTGCTTCTTTCTTAAAGGAGCAACTTGATGGTGCTGGAATCGAGCTTCCAAAATTGTACGAAATGATAGAAAGTCAAGCCCCTAATGGTTGCTATACTGAAGCTTGGAAACAAAGAGCCCACTGGGTTGGTACTCAGGTGACAAAAGAAACTGGGGAATCATTAGCTAACGCTGAGAGGTTTCTTCAAACTCATCGGCCTGTCCGAAAGTAGGGTTCTTATTATCTCTAACTTTTAGTTAGTTCATTTACTCTGAGTGCCATGGATGGTATATCTAAACATTTTCTGGTGTAGACGACATGGAAAACTTTTGGAGGAGGGAGCTAGTGGTTTTCTGGAGAAAAAGTTTGCTGATGGTGATATTAAAGAATCTCTAGCTGGAACATCTGAGCTTGAATGGTCGTCTCTAAACAAAGTGTTTTCGGAAAAAAGGGACGAGTCGATTTCCTTTGGTAGTAAGCATTGGGCTTCTGTTTACTTGGCAAGCACTCCACACCAAGCTGCAGCCATGGGATTAGAATTTCCAGGAGTCAATGAGGTTAAATTTATAATTATGCCTTTATATTTCCTGATAGCTTTGATGCTGATGATGATTTGCGTATGTTTACATCTGTGAATTTTTCTTCACTCCAAGAAAAAAGCATTGAACATGACATCCCCTTTTCTTGACCGTTTATTTGCTTTAAGACATCTAATGAAAGCAGGCTTAATTTTCCTTTTTTATTTCTGTTTGCAAGTCACTGAATTTTTGGTCCATTGTTATGCCATAATCAGGATAGGAAAACGTAACGCACTCGGCAATGTAGGTTTTCATTAGGATCAAAATATTAAGCCAAGCTCTATAATAAAATTCTTGGTTATTAGCTGTAACAGTTTTAGATGATGCAAGGCACTATGTACAACCTTGGGAGGCAAGTAATTATTAAAGATCTCTTGTTCCTTATCCAGCTAGTTAACAAAGTTGAATTTTTTGAATATCAGGATTTTATAATCCTAGATCACGCCATCCTACAGCTTGAGGGCAACTTAATTAATCTCCTGGCAGTCCGGAGTGATTATCACAGTATTTATTTATTTAATTTTGTTTTTAGGTGGAGGAAATTGAAGAGATTGATGCAAGCTTGGCAGACCCATTTTTAGCTGATGCAATTGACAACGAAAGAGAACTTGCCCTTACTGAAGAACAAAAGACTAACTATATAAGGGTATTACTTTTGACTTAACTTCTTAGCTTTCTGTTACTAAGTCTTCTACTTTTGAAAGTATTACCTTTTTTGGCTGTTAGAACAAAATAAAATTATATAAGGGTATTATTCTTTCACTTAACTTCTTAGATTTCTGGAATTAAGCATTCTACCTTTTGAAATTATAACCTTTTCTGGCTGCTCCTTATGTTCTTGCTTTTGCGGAGTTGGCAGTAAATCTATATATGAAATACCATTTAAGACTACTCGCAACTCCCGCCTTACCCTTTATCAGCTTTAGTATGACATTAAATCATCTACAGGTCAAAGAAGAGGATGATATAAATTGTGACCGTGAACTTCAACTTCGTTTGAAACGGAAGAGACGCAAGAAAAGATCTAAACAGGTCTGTGATGCATATTCTTTCAGTTCCTTATGGTAATGTTGCATATATCTGATTGAAGGCGTCTTGGTGTTATAAGCGACATTTGGGGCTTGTGGTGCCAGGGGTTTCGTTGGTTTGAAGGAATAATCTTTGGCTCATGTCTCAGTCTTTATTTGGTTTTCAATCAGGTTATCAGGTGTGCGGCAGAGAATATGGATGACGATTCTGTGTATTTGGATGGGAATTACATTGCCCCAAATTTTGCCAAAGATCAAGTGAAAAGTCCGGAGACTAGCACTCAAGTTCATAGTAATGAAGTCAACAAAGAGGGAAACGGGAATTTGTCTAATTCAGATGTAGATAAGATGGTCTCCAGCCCAAATATAAATGTAGATACCATGAGAGATGATTCACAGAATCCAGCAAACAGTTTTATGTGTACTGCCTGTAATAATGTAGCTGTGGAAGTGCATAGTCATCCCCTTTTAGAAGTAATAGTTTGCATGGATTGCAAACGTTCAATTGAAGATAGAGTTTCTAAGGTATGTTTTTTCTTCTTCCAATTTTATGTGAATTAATATGTATTTGCATATGGGTCAGAATTTAGTTAGAAATTAGATTTCTTTAATGTGGTGAATAGCATGTCACATAGATGGCTTTCTTTCTGAAAGGGACTAAAAGGTACCAATCGTGTTCATGGACTGCTTTTTAGCCACCCTTAATTGGTTAGCTTCAATATGAGTGCTGGTTTGGATATTCAATGTAGCACAAATTCTGGGGGACTGGCACATGGGAAGATTTTTTGTTCTCGTAGTAGATTTATGGCTGCTCCAATTTTTAAATGATGGGGTTAAATTTCCTTTCATTTTTATTGCCTTCATCAGCTGCTTTCCTTCGAGTAACAGACTTCTTTTGGTGCATGTTACTTTTTGTTATTTAGAGGATCACATAGAAATTTTGCCGTAATCTGAAGAATATTATTGCTATATCTGTCTCTTTCTAACCAAAACGTTGACTTTTGCCAACAGGTTGATGACTCTTTGGAACGTCATTGTGAATGGTGTGGTCATATTGCTGACTTAATAGATTGTAGGACGTGCGAAAAACTTTTCTGTGCATCATGTATAAAAAGGAATATTGGTGAAGAATACTTGGCTGAAGCTCAGTCCTCTGGTTGGGATTGTTGTTGTTGCTCTCCAATTCCCTTGCAAAGATTGACACTGGAACTGGAGAAAGCCATGAGAGATAAAAAGTCAATAGAATCGAGCTCTGATTCGAGTTCTGATTCCAGCTCTGACAACAATTCTGTTGATACAGACGCTGACGTCAATGTAACAATCAGGTATTATTATCATATACTCATCTAGGGGAAATTAAAAATTCCAGCATGTTTCTAACTAATTTTGTTAGTATTGTTTTGTTATTTTTCTTACGTGCATGGGTTTTGTTTTTTTAGCTCAAAGAAGAAATCGAAAAAGAAAATTCGGCGGATAATCGATGATGCTGAACTAGGGAAAGATACGAGAACAAAAATTGCAATTGAAAAGGTGTTAAATTTCTCGGGGCAGTTATTTTTGTTATACTTGTATATAAATTTTTTTTTTTTTTTTTAATTTGATTATTGCTCATTGTACATTGGGTTCTTTCTTTTTGTAGGCACGTCAGGAGCGCCTTAGGTCCTTACAGTTTTCTGCCAGATACAAAACAATTAGCTCTATGGGAGACGTGAAATCTATTCCAGAAGGTGCGGAAGTTGAAGTTCTTGGTGATGCTCACAGTGGTTACATAGTGAATGTGGTTAGGGAGATTGGTGAAGAAGCTGTGAGAGTTCCTCGTAGCATATCTGCCAAACTTAAAGTCCATCAGGTTAGCATTTACATATGTGTATCCCTATCATCATAATATACTTCCATCTCGCTTGTCACCTATACGATTGGGTATTAAACATAGCCATCTCGACTAGAAATGCCTATTATGGAAATAGCTTTTGCTGTAAGTTTGGAGGTTTTTATTTTCAGGTAACAGGGATAAGATTTATGTGGGAAAATATTATTCAGTCTATCAGCAGAGTGAAGTCTGGTGATAAAGGTCTTGGTTGCATTCTAGCACATACAATGGGCCTGGGTAAAACTTTTCAGGTGCTTAATTCTTTTCATGCACGAGGCTGTTTGCATATATCTTATTATCGTCCCATTCTATTAATGCATACTACTAATGGTTAATCGTTATTTGTTAATTACTGGCTCTTTATGTCTTCTCTCACTTAAACCTATTCAGGTTATAGCGTTCCTGTACACTGCAATGAGATGTGTTGATTTGGGGTTGAAAACTGCTCTTATTGTGACTCCTGTAAATGTGTTGCACAATTGGCGAAGTGAGTTTGTGAAGTGGGGGCCTTCAGAAGTGAAACCACTTCGCATTTTCATGCTTGAAGACGTTTCAAGGTATAAATTCTTCTATGAAAGAAGCTTTTGGTACTTGACAATTTAGATATAAAGATTCTCATGTTGTTCTAATCTAGTCTAGGTTTTAGATATTTAAAATGGGGGCTGGGTAGTCTATAGTGGTGTGCCATAACTTATGGCCCGTAAGACTGCTGAATGTTACTTCTACTAAAGCTATTTGAAGATCTTTTCCCTAATCAAAGAATTTAGATGCAAGCCCTCTCGTCCAACTACACAAGATCTCAGCTGTCTTAACTTCCTACTAAATTGACAAATTGGCCCATATATCAAACACTTCTTTTGGCCTATGTAAGTTGTATTTTTGGTGACAGTTTCTCAATCCATTTCCTGCTCGAATGTTTTTTTTGAAGGGAGAAGAGATTGGACTTGCTAAAAAAGTGGCGAAATAAGGGTGGAGTCTTTTTGATGGGATATGCAAAATTTAGAAACCTGTCTCTTGGGAAGGGGGTGAAGGACTTAAATGCGGCCAGAGAGATCTGTAATGCCTTGAGGGTGAGACTATAATGTCACTTGCGAAATTTATTGATTTGTATCCTGTTAGTATTCTAGATCTTTCTAGGAGAACGTTTCACGTGCTGTTTATGGTTACTCATTACTTTTTGAAGGTTAATCTTTCTGCTATTTAAAACTGCTATTTAATGGCATCTCTGTATCATAGATTTTGTTGTTTTCATGTTTTCTCTTGCTTATGATTTCCCTTGTGCATATTCCTCTGCTTGCGATATTTTATTCTTGCAATTCCTAAACCTATGTGGCTGCAGGATGGACCTGATATACTTGTTTGCGACGAGGCTCACATCATTAAGAACACCAGGGCTGACACAACGCAAGCATTGAAGCAAGTTAAATGCCAGAGAAGAATTGCCTTAACTGGCTCACCCCTTCAAAACAATCTCATGGAGTATTATTGTGTAAGTTACTGAGGGAACCATATAAAATTGTGAACTAATTTTTTCTTAGCTCCAGTATCTTAGGCTATGTCTGTACTGCAACAGATGGTTGATTTTGTGAGAGAAGGATTCTTGGGAAGTAGCCCTGAGTTTAGAAACCGGTAAGTCTTTCGTACCAGTTTTTTTTTTTTATCTGCCTATTATGATGTGATGTTTCTAGAGTTGTAATTGTGGTTCTCCATACCTGCAGCTTCCAAAATCCAATAGAAAACGGACAGCATATGAATTCAACTGCGGAGGATGTAAAAATTATGAACCAGAGGTCACACATTCTGTATGAGCAATTGAAAGGTTTTGTGCAAAGAATGGATATGAATGTGGTAAAAAAGGATCTGCCACCTAAAACAGTCTTCGTAATATCTGTCAAGCTATCTCCCTTGCAACGGAAATTGTATAAGAGATTTCTTAAGCTTTATGGGTTCAGCGATGGAAGAACAGATGAAAGGATGAGAAAAAACTTTTTTGCTGCTTACCAGGTCTTGGCTCAGGTATAAATGTTATAAAGGCCTTGCTATGCTTAAATTAATAACTTATTTGAAAAAAAATTGGTAAGAAAAAATATGTTAATAACTGATTTATTTGGTATTCGTTTTCATATTCTGAACTCTCTCTTTGGCATTGCGTCTCCCAGATTTTGAATCATCCAGGGATTCCGCAATTAAGAAGTGAAGATAGCAAGAATGGGCGCCGTGGTAGCATTGTTGATATTCCAGATGACTGTTCAAGTGATGAAAATATAGACTACAACATGGTTACAGGAGGTAACTCTTAATTGTCTCTGCTCACATATTTTTATGTTTTGTTTAAACTACTATGAAGAACAGAAGGAACAGAAAAACATTGGACTTGTTCCATGGTTAAGACTTAAGATAGATATCTTTTGGCTTTGAATTCAAGGAATAGTAGGTGCAGTAGAATTATACCTTTTTTGTACCGTTCCAGTTTGAATAAGATAGCCAATAGAGGATTAGTTTTATTGGTCTAAGACTTTCTTACCAACAATAATCTCTGACATGCAAAGTTTAGGGACCTTCGATTCAGCAATGTGGTTCTAAGCTTCATTATATTCTATGGAGCTTTCAGGAGTGATCTTTCTTGGTTGCATCTATGCAGGTTCAATAATAGTAAAAAAAAGTATTAATAATCTGTGTCATTGTTGTTGTTTTGGTTATTGACAGAGAAACAGAGAACTATGAATGATTTTCAGGATAAAGTTGATGGATACCTCCAGAAGGTAACTATAGATTATTCAGCCTAAGTGAATTAGTAACTACTGCCTACAACTTTAAAGTAAACAGCGTACTTGTGCACTCATGCTCTGATTCTATCCCTGTCTTTGTGCCAGGATTGGTGGGTCGACCTACTTGAAAAAAATAATTATAAGGTGTCGGACTTTAGTGGCAAAATGATTCTGCTATTGGATATTTTATCCATGAGTGCTGATGTGGGGGATAAGGCGCTTGTGTTTAGCCAGAGTATCCCGACATTGGATCTCATAGAACTTTATCTTTCAAGAGTACCTCGGCATGGGAAACAAGGAAAGTTCTGGAAAAAGGGAAAAGACTGGTATAGGTTGGTATCTTGTTCTCTTATATTAGCGTGAATGTTGTTTGAACAATTATGAATGGCTCTAACTTCCCTTGATGAATGCAGAATTGATGGAAAAACCGAAAGCTCAGAACGCCAGAAGTTGGTTGATAGGTTTAATGAGCCTGACAACAAAAGGGTAAAATGTACACTAATTTCAACCAGAGCGGGATCCCTTGGAATTAATCTTTATGCTGCTAACCGTGTGATCATCGTTGATGGTTCATGGAATCCAACCTATGATCTTCAAGCTATATTTCGAGCTTGGAGGTATTTCCTAGACTACTGTGGGATTAAACTTTGTCAATATAGCATTAACAAACAGTGGCTTATTATACGTGGACTTATTGGTTGCAGGTATGGCCAAAAGAAGCCAGTATTTGCGTACAGATTGATGGCACGTGGGACTATTGAAGAAAAAATATATAAACGTCAGGTATTGAAAGACAACAATTTTGAATTTTGCTGTTTCTTTCCTTCAAGGAGACATTCATGAATCAGATCTGTTAATATGATTAGGTGACCAAGGAAGGGCTAGCTGCGAGAGTAGTGGATAGACAACAAGTGCACAGGACAATCTCCAAAGAAGAGATGTTACATCTTTTTGAATTTGACGATGATGATGAGAAATCCGACGCTGTAACTGAGATAAGCAAGCAAAATGAAGCGGCACAAAGCAATCTGGTTGATAATTCACAGAAACAGAAGGCCACTTTATCTCGTGTTGGTTGCGACAAATTGATGCAGAACTTACTACAGAGACACGGCCCGAAGTAAGTTTCACAAGCGTAACCATATTGACATCAGCACTTAAAATCTTTGGTTTTCTATGCTACTTGCTTTATGACGCTGTATGTCCTTCTTTTACTAGCTGGATTTCCAGTTTCCATGAGCACGAGACATTGCTACAAGAGAATGAAGAAGAAAGACTGACAAAGGAAGAAAAAGACATGGCCTGGGAAGTTTACAGGAGAGCGCTTGAGTGGGAGGAAGTTCAACGGGTCCCACTCAGCGAATCTCCAGTGGTTCCAAAACCTTCTCCTTCCATACAAACAGAACCCTTACCCCAGCCAAAGGGGTTCAACAGAAGTCGTTTTGTGAACCGCAACTGCACTAGAACCGCGCACCAGCTTACACTCATAAGCCAAGGAAGAAAAATTGGTAGCAGCACGGTCTGTGGGGAGTGTGGGCGCATCTTAAGGTGGGAAGATGTTATACCCGCATCCAAACTTTCAGCGGTAAACTAAATAGTATATGAACATTGCAAAATTGGTGAGTTCATTTTTCCTTTTTAAAAAAAAATCTGAGACTGAAGCCAAAATTAATGGGAAATAGTAACATTTGAGACTCCCTTTAGATTATTGATGAGTTAGATTATAGTTCCATTGCCGAGAACAAATCAGGGCGTTTGTTAGGGGGTCGGCATCTAATCATGCTGAAACTTGTGTCATGTTGAAATTTGTAATGGCACCTTGTTTCGAGATGAATATAGAACTTTCAAAATGTTTGTTGTTTTAACGGTATAGTAGAGAGCGGTCACTGAGCAAGAAGTAATTTTGAGCAAATGGAAGGACTAATCTTTTCTGATTCAACCATTGCCTTACAAAATTGATTTCCTGTACAAAATAAAAGCTTAATAGAAACAACAAAAAAAGAGTCGGCTTCAATTATGTTTCCTACACTTCTCTCAAGAGTTTCCATTGCGTCAGCTTCTTCTGCAACTGAACAGCCTCGCTCCCCATTCCCATCTCTTCCACACCTTTAACTATTGCAGTGTATATTGTCTCATCTGGCTTGCATCCACTTGTTAGCATTATCTCAACAACCTCTATCGCCATTTCCATCTCTCTCTTCTTGCATAGCCCTTGGATCACCAACCTGTAAGTGCTACCTCTGATCCCATTCCCTCTATTGCTTGTCTCCTTTAAAACTTGGCTAGCTTCTTCAACTAGGTTTGCCCGGCAGAAACCATATATTAAAGACCGACGGGTTATATCATCAGGAGAGATTCCAGCATCCAGCATATGATGGTACAGCTCCAATGCTTTCTTCATCAGGCCCTTTCTGGCCAATCCATCGATTACAGAGTTGTAAGTGATCAATCCAGGCAGACAACTCGTGCTTTTCAGCAATCCAAGCAACTCAATAGCATCATCAACCATTCCCTCCTTGGACATGGCTCCTAGAAGTGTGTTGTAAGTAACAATATCAGGCAAACACTTTTGTTCCAGCATTTGGTAGAAGAAATCGATTGCACGACTCAAAAGCCTGGCTTTGCATAAACCATTGATCAGGATGTTGTAAGTAATAACTGTTGGACAGTATGAAGTCTGGTACATGATGTTTAGAATCTCCTCCACTTCATCCCAGTACTCGTTTGAACAAAGGGAATGTAGAAGAGTGTTGTAAGTTACTGTGTTCAGTTCCAATCCATGAGATAAGATATGCTGAATGACCAAAGCCACCTCTTCCAAATTCCCTCGCCTGCAGTTATAGTTTACCAGAGAATTATATGTGACAATGTCAGGATAACAACCTTCCACTGCCATGTCTTCTAAAACATCCATAGCTCGAGCGCTTCCACAGTACCTGCACACAAGTTCGACCAAAACCGTGTATGTAATCATATATGGAGGGCAACCATTCCGCAGTTGATCCTTCCAAAACCTGATGGCTTGCTCAGCATTCCCATGATCAAACATACACCGAATGACTGTATTATACGTGATCACATCTGGAGGGCTCCCACTCAAACTCATGTCTTCTAAGAGGACCAATGCAGATCTTATATGCCCTTTCTTGCAAAGATTTCCGATGATCATGTTATAGGTAATAGTATCTGGAACCCCACCAGACATTACCATTATCCTCAAGATAACCATTGCTTTATCCAGTTGATCAATTCTGGCCAAACCACGGACTAAGTTTGAGCAAGAAGGAAAATGAGGAACCTGATTATGACGTGCCATAACCTCAACTAGTTTACACGCATCTGTTAACTTGCCGTTGCTGCACAGGTTATGAAGGATCTCATTGTTTGTCTCTTCATCGTTCTCAGTAATTGGTCCATCAGATGATAAACCTAATTGCTTCCTGGCTCTCAAGTTATTACCGACACCATAGTGATGGAATTCTGAGCTTCTCTCAGCATGATCATCAACATCAGCTACATTGTCAATGCACACACTAGTCATCAAGCCGTGGCATCTCAAATTTTTCAACCCAATTTCTTGTTTCCAATCTAAAGAAGAAAACTTTCTGCAAGATAAAGGATTCACCAAACAGAAATTCTCCTGCTTTGGAGACAAACTTGGAAGATGCAAGAAATGAACCTCAAGTAGCAAATTCGAAGAAGCCATCTCTCAGAATTCAAAACAAAACAGAGATCTTTCCTTTCACAAAAGCTTATCAAACTCAATGATGAAGAAGTTAGACCCAGAAATATTTGCTGCTGGGATGTTCAGTCTCTGCTTTATCTCATAACCTATTATTCTTAAGTGAGTGGAGAAACCAAACCTGTGAAAAGGAAAGGTACGAGTTTCAGAGACAGCGAAGCACTAGCAGAAGCAGATTCTAACAAAAAAAAAGCAGAAAATCTTCAAAACCCTAACAAATCTGGAGCAATGAGTGCGAGAAACTCACTGTTCGTTCTTCGAAGCTGTGCGCGTTTTTTTTGAGATGATAAGTAGGGTTTATCCTTAATTTACAATATACATCCTCAATTTCTCTACAGTTTTCATTTATTCCCACAACTTGTGAAACATCTAACATTCACCCCCTCTTTTTTATTTCTTTTGTTCCCGGTTTGACTATTTTGGGCCAATTCAGCTATCGGATTGGGCTTTTTCAAGTTTTCAGTTGAGTTACAATCTTTTTAAACCAAATTATAATCATACAATATCAATTATCCGCATACAAAAATGACCATAAATAAATACACAAGAGTATAGTCCTTGTACACGCCTCTCTTACATATTATAATGGCTAACTAATCGCATTATCATATTTTTTTTTTCTTCGTCTAGATTTATTATTAATTACAAATTATGATAACTGTTATATAGACGATTCTACAACTGACAATTTCTGCCGACCCTTAGTAGATCCACGACAAAATACACTTCTTTCTTCATAATTTTGATGAATACCTTCAATGATCCACGACCTGGCGACACTTCCTTCTCTGCGTAGAATCCTGGCGCACGACTATAATTGTACATCGCTGGAGATCTTCTGCACACTTGCCTCCATTAATCTGCAAATTTGATAATAAATCGCAATATCTAGGACTCGAACCCCAGACCTCTTAATGTAGAAGCATTAATCGACCCTTAGTCAACCAATGGGTCAAGGGGGCTTCCACTCGCAATATCATATTCAAATTTTAAATATGTTGGTCTAAATGAGAATTAAGTAATACTCACATACTATAATCTATTACATGAATTATGAATTGAGTAATTGTATTCTAGTGGTTATTTTCATTTGAATATAGCAAAAAATCGAATGCGCTGATAAAACAACTTCGATAAATAATTGATGGTTTTTAAATTAGATTTATTTTTTAAAAAAACCTTACATGAAAATCTAGTTATTGAAATATATTTGTTACTAAAAAATTTATATGATATATTTTTGGTAAAATTTTGTTCTCTGTTACAATAAAATTTTAATTTAAATATATGAAATTGTTAACTGCATATTTTTGTATTAGAATTACCCGCAATACAAATCCTAATCTAATATATAAATATATAGTACTTATCTAAATTAGTAAAGTTTTAATATTTAAATAACTTGTTGTGTGTAACCAAAAAAAATAAAAAAAATTGTGTGTGGATATGCGGTAATGTCCCACCCGTGAATAAATGTTATACGTGTTATATGACCCAACAAAGTGATAAAAAGAAAACCAATTACATTACCTCTAATGCACTTGTTTATTGCATTTTTATATATTTGATGGTTGAAACAAGATACATAAGAGTAGTTGCATAGGAAATTGCATCAGCTTGCTTTTGAAGCGTTAATAACTCTTATAACCAAGACATATATCATAGAGAGCAAAAATTAGGCAAACCCAGAAAAACCCACCACATGTTTCTCTTCTGATGATCTTAAAAGTTTTATAGAAAAGGAAAGAAAAAAAAAAGGTGATAAGTTTAATCTAATCTTGACCAGTGAAATAGCTTTTGCTGCTTGTTGTTTTTGTTCATTCTTCAGAGAATTTTTGGGGGTAATTATCACAATACCCAACATATATGGACCTGTAGTAGATTTGATTCCAGTTTTACCCTTTTCTTCTTCCTTTCATCTGATTTTGTTGGCTCTTTTTTTTTTTTTTCCTGGGATCATTTTTTTGTGTTGGAATTTTCTTCTCAATTTTTATGCAAACATGGAAAAGGACATGGCGATGATAATCTGAATCTACTAGGTTTTAGATCTGATGGAAAACTGGATTATTAAAAAAATATATAAGGAACTAAATTTCAATGATCTAGGGTTTCTACAGATCTTTAAATCTGTTGCTGATTTGACTCGATTTCTCTGAATCTGGGTGCAGTTGATGGAGCTCCAGCTATTTTGACCATCCAATTCACAAGAAACCCTAAATCACAAGACTATGTAAGCATTTCCCTTTATGGGTCTTCCTGATTATTTTTGATTCAGCTCATTTGGCGATGAACCGTATATATCTGTGATCTTACTTTGCCCTGAAAATCTGTACCTACCATTTTTATTATTTTTGGGTTGTGATATTTTTGAGACATGAATGAATGATGTTTCATTTGTAGTGTTGGCACGGAAGTAATGGGGACAGAGCTAATGAGAATCTGTGTGAAAGAAGATAGTGATGATTTGCCATCTGTTCCTCCTGGGTTTGAATCTTATGCTACTTTTACCTTAAAAAGAGTAGTCCCCGGTACTTCTGATAAAGCCAAGACTGCTGCAATTGAAAGTGTTTCTGCAACCGAACAAGCTAAGATGGAAGTTGAATCCGATGAAGCCAAAGCTGCTCGGGCTGTACGCCGTAGGCCTTGGATTAATCATAGCGGATGTGATGATGATGATGATGATGGTGCAAAAATTGACAATGCTGCATCTCAAAATCCTGATCAGGTTCGTTCTCTGTTTTGCTTTTTATCTTATGCTTGACAACTTGTGTTTCCATCTCTTTCTTTGCCTTTCTCATGCATCGTGTCGTTGCAGAGTTGTGCTGTGAAGCTGTCTCTTCCAAAGGGTGTGGTCAGGGGATGTGAAGAATGTAAAGATTGCCAGAAGGTTAATGTCAGTTAATGCTTACTTAAGATACAACTTATTAATGTCTTTAGCTTGAGCATTAGATGTCTTACCTTTTCTTCTATTTTGGTTGTTTCATAACCCTCTAACGTTATATTCACAAATTTGGCAGGTAACTGCGAGATGGCATCCAGATGAAGCTCGTAGGCCTGACCTTGAAGACGCCCCTGTATTCTACCCGACCGAAGAGGTCTTGTTCATATTCTTTACTTCCAATCAATCCTTTTTAACTGAATTTCTATGTAAATAGATCCATATTTCTGACATAAACTGCTAACCTGTTTCTAGGAGTTTGAAGACACTTTGAGTTATATAGCTAAAATAAGACCGGAGGCTGAAAAGTATGGAATCTGTCGCATTGTTCCTCCTCCTTCCTGGAAACCGCCGTGCCCACTGAAAGAAAAGCAAGTATGGGAGGGTTCTAAATTTACGACGCGTGTCCAAAGAGTTGATAAACTTCAGAATCGTAGTTCAATGAAGAAGATTTCAAAGCTTTCTAATCAAATGAGAAAGAAGAAAAGAAAGTGCATGAAAATGGGAATGGATTCTGTCACCAATGGCGTGAGCGATCCCTGTTCTGTAAGCACTGGAATGAGTGAACTTGAGACGTTTGGGTTTGAACCTGGTCCAGGGTTTACACTAAAAGACTTCCAAAAATATGCTGATGAGTTCAAGGCTCAGTACTTTAAAAAGAGTGAAACTTCTACAGACGATAAATGTAAAGTTGATATTTCAATAGACTGCTGGGAGCCAGCACTTGAGGATGTTGAAGGTGAATATTGGCGTATAGTAGATAAAGCAACTGAAGAGATAGAGGTGAAGTTTGTTCCCTGTTGCTCTTTTTATTTGGGGGTTTACGGTCTATTAGGTCCTCTGTATCTCCTAACTACCACAATGATTTTTCAATATAGGTGCTTTATGGTGCTGATCTTGAAACTGGTGTATTTGGTAGCGGATTCCCCAAGACATCATCAAGTCACAATGCTTCTTCTTCCGAAGAAAAATATGCAAAATCAGGCTGGAACTTAAACAACTTTCCAAGGCTTCCGGGATCCCTCCTTAAGTATGAGGGCAGTGATATTTCCGGTGTCCTTGTGCCATGGCTGTATATTGGGATGTGCTTTTCTTCTTTCTGTTGGGTAAGATTGATCTCTTTGACTTGCATAATTTATTTTGCATGTTAAAGCATATGCTTAGTTGGGATATCTTCCTTTTACAAGCATAGGCTCATACTGAAACTTACAACTACAACCAAATGTGCTTTGTTTCTGTATACATATTCACAAATAGTAGATAAATGTGATTAAATTTCTGTGCTACATAATTACAATGATAATTTTTCCATTATTCCTGCTACACTAGGATTATCTTTAATTCAATTTCCAAAAAAAGTAAGCTTGATGATATTTATTTCATCATCTGAAAAATCTGAACGAAATTGAAAGTATTTAATGTCTTTTGTCTGTGTTCAATACATTCTGCATACGGAACTCTTCCCAAGTGCTTTAGTGTCATCAATCATCATACTATACAATTTTCTTACACCAGTGGATGTGTTTTTCATTACTTCACATCTTATATCGTTTTATATTTTCTGTTGCTGACATTCCTTTTGTTCTGCTTTTTGTTTTTGTTTCCCTGAAACAGCATGTTGAAGATCACCACTTGTATTCGTTGAATTATATGCACTGGGGTGCACCAAAATTGTGGTATGGTGTTGGGGGGAAGGATGCTGTTAAACTCGAGGAGGCGATGAGAAAGCATTTGCCTGACCTTTTTGAAGAACAGCCTGACTTACTTCATAAGCTAGTAAGTGTTGGATATTTGATGAACTAAATCATAGCTTTGCTGCTCTATAATCACACAATGGACGCCTTACATTATAGACTTTCTTATTTTGAAAATTTCGTGCAATAAATAAAGCATTTACTTGTGCTAGCAGCCTATTAAACCTGGCTCAGTCACGATGATGCTTTTATTTTATTATTACGTTAGCATATGATAGAAAAATACCATATCTGTGTTTCCATTTTTGTAGTTAATCACCCTGTAGGAATTTCTATAGATCCGTTTTTAGTCCTCTATCGACTTGCACCTGATTTAAATATATTTGTTGCACATTATTGTTTCGGTGTAAAATAAATCCTTTGATGCTCTTTCGTGTAGGTTACACAACTCTCCCCGTCAAAACTGAAAACCGCAGGAGTACCTGTGCACCGTTGCGTCCAGCATGCTGGAGAGTTTGTCTTGACTTTTCCTCGGGCATATCATGCTGGATTTAATTCTGGTTTCAATTGTGCTGAAGCTGTGAATGTAGCACCAGTTGACTGGTTGCCTCATGGGCAGATTGCCATAGAGTTATACTGTCAACAG